AGCTCGGGCTGCCCTTCAAGGTAGCTCCACACGCTTGGCGCGGATGCTTGGGAAGCTGGCCACAGCTAGCAAACTGCTGGAGGCAATGAGCCACTGTGTACGTGAAGCCCGGGGTCAATCAGCTTGTGATGAAAGAAAACAAGGGGGAAGCTTGTGGGGCAGCTGCTGGCCGCCGACGAGAGGAAGCACGTCCAACCTGCGTGACATAAAGGCGATTGGAGTGTGAGTGTCTGGAACGTTGTGCCAATGAAACAGCACGCGTAGGGTGGCCTATAGACAAGAGATGTTTTGGGTCGGAGGAAGAGGGCGATTTGGAACCTGAGGACTATTTCCGTCCTCCCTATAGCACCATGAGAGGATTTGTGTAGTGAAGCTAGGTGATAAATAGGTCCTCTTCCTACACAGTTATGAGTGTGCACGTATGTATTACACTAGTAATGCATTTCACCCAACAACAAAGACCATGTTATTGGTTCGATATAGTGAAGCAAAATCGAGCGCTACTAGGGAAACCATATGCTACTCATGGAATGCAACTGCAAATGAAAAAATAACCAAGCAGGCATACACTTAAAAAGAATAAGATCCAATGAATTATCTAAAGGCGCATCTTGCCACAAAAACATTCCCGTATGGCACATGGTCCCATGCAAGTGTACAAAGTGTTCCTGCATGGCAGTCCTGCACTAGCAAGTGATCTCCACATCCATGGAAGCTTGCAGGGCAGCGAGGGCTCTCTTCGAAAAGAAGTAGCGCGTGGGGGGTCGATTCCTGAGGCGCCTCAGAAGATGTGGCAGTGAGAAGGCCAGCAACAGCGGTGGAAGAAAGAGCAAGAGCAGCAGCAGGTTTTTAGGCGCCTGGAGATCATACAGAATCACCCCCACGGTGGTAGTGCCTGGCGGCTCAAAGGGTAAGTTGGTGCCTGCAGGATGGATGAGGAGAGGGCGGGAGGCTGGGAGGAGCGGATGCAGGCAAAGCAGGAGGAGCATTATGACGTGGGAGTGTAGTGGGATGTATGATTATGGTTCTCGTGATAATAGAGAGTTTTTGAGAAGTCTCAAAAACTCTCTACTATCATGACGCAGGTGCATAATGACATGGGAGTGCAGTGGGATGTGATTAAGGTTCACAACGGTTCTGATGGAAATCGGGGAAGTGGGACTGGAGTTGATATGCACTTGATAGAAGCCAGGATGTCTTACGGGCAGTGAGGTCTTGAATGTTGTGGGCGGGTGCATTGGCCCACAGAACAAACAAGAACAACTCCAATGGCAACTGCTGTGCTTATCTGGAACAAGAGGTATGTGTACGGTGCCACTTGCCGGTAGGAGGATTCTTGATTCTGTCTACCTGGTAGTCAGGATGGCCAGTAGGGCTTTGGATTATTGTTCCTGTCAGCAGGGTACAGCATGGTACAGTACGGTACAGCATGGTACACACAGTACAAAGCAAGGTCACAGCGCGACAAGCCTATATGGCAGGGTGGGCTGAACTCAAGGCGTTTGGGATGGTAAGAAACGGATGCGGAGGAAGAGCAAGCACACTGAGGCTCACAGAAGCACAAGCACACATGACGCAGGTGAGGCTTGAGTGGAGGGAAGGAGGTCTGACACGTCAGCACTCGTTTCCACAGTTTTTTTAACGGATAAAAATCGACTCATTGTGGCAAGCGGAGGAGCACGAGTCACACTACCCAGCAGGATTCACACTGCCCAGTGCGAGCCCATGGGCTGAAGTGGCTAGGAGGCGTCGCTCGGCCACTCCCCCATGGCCACTCCCCCATGGCCACTCTCCCGTGGCCACTCTCCCATGGCCACTCTCCCATGGCCACTCTTCCATGGCCACTCTCCCATGGCCACTCTCCCATGGCCACTCTCCCATGGCCACTCTTCCATGGCCACTCTCCCATGGCCACTCCCCCATGGCCTACAGGGTCCCTTCCACAGGCCAGTGGAAGCTATGGGGCGTGTGGAGCATGTTGGCAAGCAGGCATGTTGGCAAGCAGGCACTGAAAATCAAGACGCAGCAAGGACGAGCTAAGGGCCGAAAAAAGGAACAGAACATAACCATCAGCTAGTGAGGGCATCAATCCGCAAGCATACCTTGAGGCACCAGCAGGGTATCGTGAGAGACGCACGTGCCAGCAGCAGTCCCTGGCGTGTACCCGTCATCACAGGTGCACTGCCCCACAGGTTCACAGTGGGGTGGCCAGAACTCCTCGTCTTCATCACACGGAGACATGGCGTGAGACGGGTCCGGCACCAAGGAGCACACGCCATGCCCGCTGCACGGGGGGGTCAGCCTCTGCTCTCTGAGCGGCTGCACTTGCACCCCACAGAACGCCCGGCACTCACTGTCACGCCTCTGGTTCAGCCCGTGGCCGCAGTAGACCCACTCAAGGCAGTTGTGGGTGAATACGCACGAGCTGTGGCCTCCTGAGGGGTCGTCTGGGTCTGGGCTGGTGGTGTTGAACGGGAAGGCGTCTGCTGTGGCTGTGAGGTAGTTGTAAGCAGCAGACAGCCTGTGTAGCGATGTGAGGTGGGTGATGTGGTGGAAGGAGGGCAGCTCTCCCGTAAGCTGGTTGTTGTCAAGGTGCCTGTGGTGCAAAAGAAGGGGGGGCTTGAAGCAGTGGGAAGGAGGAATCTGCTTTTGAGTCGACAGGAAAAAAAGTGACTGGGAAGGGGGGTGATTGGAAAGGTGATGCGAGAGGAGTAGCATGTGCGTGTTGAATCGGGGGTACCGCTTCCGGTGCATGCTGTGTGGCATCAGCTTTGCGAAATCCAATTTCAGTGCTGTGTGGGATCAGCTGAGTGTGTTAGTGCTGGGATCAGCTGAGTGTGTTAGTGCTGTTACCAGCTGAGTGTGTTAGTGCTGTTACCAGCTGAGTGTGTTAGTGCTGTTACCAGCTGAGTGTGTTAGTGCTGGGATCAGCTGAGTGTGTTAGTGCTGTTACCAGCTGAGTGTGTTAGTGCTGGGATCAGCTGAGTGTGTTAGTGCTGTTACCAGCTGAGTGTGTTAGTGCTGTTACCAGCTGAGTGTGTTAGTGCTGGGATCAGCTGAGTGTGTTAGTGCTGTTACCAGCTGAGTGTGTTAGTGCTGTTACCAGCTGAGTGTGTTAGTGCTGTTACCAGCTGAGTGTATTAGTGCTGTTACCAGCTGAGTGTGTTAGTGCTGTTACCAGCTGAGTGTGTTAGCAGCTGAGTGTGTTAGTGCTATGTGATACTCCCATCATTTCCTTGGTGTGGACGTGCTTCGGAGAAAGAATATTAACATGGCTTAACACGAACGATGGGAGACACGGGAAGGAAGTGGAGAGCGACTGGGTGGCGTTTCACTGAGGAGATGGGTAGCACTGACAGTTGTTTGAAGTAAGTGCATGAGGTGCGTAGAACAGATTGTTTCAGCAGAATTTAAACGAGTTGACCCCGCAGATATGTCTTTAGAGTGGGCTCAGCAGGCAACACAATCACGTTCTTCCGATTCCTCAACCACATCCTTGATTATTGACAAATAGCGCGTGAGTGTTGGTGACGACCGAGGAGGTAACACTGACAGGTATGCGAGATTAGTGAGTATGGTGATTGCAGCAGGTATCGTCCCCGCAAGACGGTTGTCGTTGAGTTTCCTGAAGATGGGTGGATGAATGGACATGGAGGAAAGGAGAGAAGAGGAGGGGAAGAGGGGAAGTGGTGACGAGGAGAGAAGAGGAGGGGAAGAGGGGAAGTGGTGACGAGGAGAGAAGAGGAGGGGAAGAGGGGAAGTGGTGACGAGGGAACGAAGAGGGGAAGAGAGGGAATGGAAGAACACGAGAACAGGGAGAACAGGGAGAACAGGGGAAGGAGGCTGTTGTATTCCAGCTGCCTGTCATAGCATAGCATAGCATGAGATGGGATGGGATGGGATGGGATGGGATGGGATGGGATGGGATGGGATGGGATGGGATGGGATGGGATGGGATGGGATGGGAATGGGATGGAATGGGATGGGATGGGATGGGATGGGATGGGATGGGATGGGATGGGATGGGATGGGATGGGATGGGATCCTAGATTGGATTCAAATCAGGCTGACAACACGCGAATTTACTCTGATAATAATCCTAAAATGGCATTGTAGGAGGGGAAATCAATGCATTCTTCTGGAAAAGGGCTTAATATCAGTCCTGGCACAGAAACAAATGTTGAATCAGTGTAAAAAAAACAAAAAGAAATCTGAGGGTCTCGATGGGATTCGATAGGATAGGATGGAATGTGATGGTATGGGATGGGATGCGATGGGATCGGGCGAAAGACAAGACGTTAGCCCATAGGGATACCTCCACTCACTCACTCGCACATACAACACAATCCCCACAAGTCACCCACTCTTTCATCCCCTCACCCACTCACCCCTCACTCACACTTTCACCCACTCGTCACGGACTCGCCCCCTGCTCTCGGCCTCTCACTCGCCCACTCATTTGCTGGCTGAGGGGACATATCAGGCTGTCACACCTGGTCATCCCACAGCACCTTGCATGTCTACCCCATCACCACTCACAACTCTCATAGCTGCCTTTTTTAGGCGCCTCAAAACTTGCGCTTTTTAAGGCGGCTCAATACTTGAGATTTTTCAGGCGCCTCAAAACGTGCGTGCCTACTCATCACCACTCACAGCTCCCATAGCTGCCTGAGGTGGCCAATCTCCTCTGGAATGGAGCCCGAGAGATCATTGTGGTTGACGTCCCTGATGCACAATGGGGGGCGAGGAGGGCGGAGGGGGGGAAGGGTGGCAAAGGGAAGCGTGTTTTTGAGTCGCTTAAAAAACATGGAGCCCGAGAGATCATTGTGCTTGAGGTCCCTGTGGTTGAGGTCCCTGGTGCATGATGAGAGTGGATGGAGGAGGGCGGAAGGGGGAACTTTTATTGAGGCGCCTCAAGATCCCGAGAGATCATTGTGGTTGAGGTCCCTGGTGCATGATGAGGGCAGAGGAATTTCTGAGACGTTTCTGAGACTCATATCATGAGGTTCCTGCCTGGTGCACAACCAGGGTGGAGGAGGGAAGCGGAGGCGTTGGAGTGGAGGTACAAGGCAGGAAGAACGATCATGGTTGAGAGAATGGAAAGGGGAAGGAAAGCTGAAGTGGTGGATGGATGGATGGAAGTAGTGCTGACATTCGTTTCCTTTATCCAACGCACTCTCATGTAACATAGCTAACATTTATAGCTAGCAAAACGTTTACGTGCCTTTATGGTAGTTTTGTGCTAACAATGGAGCAGGTGTAGGGTGGAGGGGAATGGGAGAGAGGGCAGTAGGGAAGAGAGGGAGAGAGATGGGACAGGACGGGATGGGATGGGATGGGATGGGATGGGATGGGATGGGATGGGATGGGATGGGATGGGATGGGATGGGATGGGATGGGATGGGAATGGGATGGAATGGGATGGGATGGGATGGGACGTGACTGGATAGGACTCATGGGACTGGATGGGACTGGATGGGAATGGATGGGAATGGATGGGACCGGATGGGACTGGATGGGACTGGATGGGAATGGATGGGAATGGATGGGAATGGATGGGACTGGATGGGAATGGATGGGAATGGATGGGATGGATGGGACTGGATGGGAATGGATGGGAATGGATGGGAGTGGATGGGAATGGATGGGAATGGATGGGACTGGATGGGAATGGATGGGAATGGATGGGACTGGATGGGACTGGATGGGAATGGATGGGAATGGATGGGATGGATGGGACTGGATGGGAATGGATGGGAATGGATGGGAGTGGATGGGAATGGATGGGAATGGATGGGACTGGACGGGAATGGATGGGACTGGATGAGAGTGGATGGGACTGGATGTGAATGGATGGGAATGGATGGGAATGGATGGGAATGGATGGGAATGGATGGGATGGATGGGACTGGATGGGAATGGATGGGAATGGATGGGATGGATGGGACTGGATGGGAATGGATGGGAATGGATGGGAGTGGATGGGAATGGATGGGAATGGATGGGACTGGACGGGAATGGATGGGACTGGATGGGAGTGGATGGGACTGGATGTGAATGGATGGGAATGGATGGGAATGGATGGGACTGGATGGGAATGGATGGGACTGGATGGGAATGGATGGGAATGGATGGGAATGGATGGGATGGATGGGACTGGATGGGAATGGATGGGAATGGATGGGAGTGGATGGGAGTGGATGGGAATGGATGGGACTGGATGGGAATGGATGGGAATGGATGGGAATGGATGGGAATGGAATGGATGGAATGGATGGGACTGGATGGGAATGGATGGGAATGGATGGGAATGGATGGGAATGGATGGGACTGGATGGGAATGGATGGGAATGGATGGGAATGGATGGGAATGGATGGGAATGGATGGGACTGGATGGGAATGGATGGGAATGGATGGGAATGGATGGGAATGGATGGGCCCTGGATGGGATGGGATGGAACTGGTTGCAGAAGCTACAGCATAAGCTACAAATCCCCATCACCACTCACAACTTCCCATCACCACTCACAACTCCCTCAGCTGCTTAAGGCTGCTCACTGCCTCTGGAATGGAGCCTGAGAGATTGTTGCGGACGAGCTTCCTGAAGCATGGCGATGGTGGGGAGTGGGCAGTGAGGGGTGGGGAGGCACTGAATGCAGGGACGTGCAAGGCATGCAGGGACGTGCAAGGCATGCAGGGACGTGCAAGGCATGCAGGGAGGAGGAGCACAGGATATAAAAATGGATTCAAAAAGTGGAGGTGACCACTTCACACTGCCAAGTTCACAGGTGACTGGAAAGCATGTAATGTTGTGGTAGTCTCCTGCCGATACCTTAGAGATGGGAAGCTTAGGGCGAAGGAGAACGGGAGAGAGGTAGGTGGAGGGAGAATAGGCGCACAGGGTGGTGAGTGCGGAGAGGTTGCCTATGGAGGCCGGAATGGTGCCACTCAGACCGTTGCCTTCCAGCCATCTGCCATGTCGTCGCATGGGATGGCATGAAAGCCGTGGGATGGCATGGGATGGCATGAATCGGCATTGGACTGAAGCTGAGTGAGTACAGCATGTGTGGCAGCTCAGGGAAGAACAGGTGGATCCAAAGCACTGAGTAGTCAAAACAATGAGCCATGTCGCTGGAAAAGCTCCAAAGGAATGAAATTAGGAATGCTTGCACACAAAATCCATTGCAAAGGCACATGAAACTTGTGAAAAAGGACAGGAAACAGTACCAACACAGTCCTCAAGATTCACGGTGTGCAATGCTTTTTGAGTCCGGTTGACCTATAAGGTGAGTTGTGAAATCGAGCAACAATTGTTTGCAGGTATCATAATGCACAAGTATTGCAACTTCAATCCAAAGCAAGGCATGTCAGCAGCTGCACACATGAACCAGTTTGAAATCGGTTGCTTTATTTCGGGCAGCGTTCGTCCTTACATGAGTTCCAGGTTGGTGAGAGCTCCGATTGACTCAGGTATGGGCCCTGAGAGCATTTGCTCCCCAAGGCATCTGCGACCACATGCGGCACAGTGCGGTGAAGTGTGGTACAGAGAGGAACGGTGACGTGGAACGGTGGAGGTTGGGTGCGGGAAGGTTGGGGGAAGGTTGATAGCACATGGCCTCGCATGCATTGGCAATGCTTGCAGCACCAGCAGTGCATGTGTCAGCAGTGCATGTGTCAGCAGTGCATGTGTCAGCAGTGCATCCAGTGCATGTATCACCAGTGCATGTGTCTGCACTCAGTCATTTAGCCACTCATCCACACAAGCACTCCTATCAGGCTACCACACCTGGTCATCCCACAGCACCTTGCATGCTGGCCCCATCACCACTCACAACTCCCCATCACCACTCACAACTCCCGTAGCTGCTTGAGGTTGCTAATTGCGTCTGGAATGGAGCCTGAAAAGCTGTTTCCAGAAATAGTCCTTGTATATGGAGAGGGTGGGTAGATAGAAGCAGGGAGCAGGGCGGGGCAGAGAGGGTGGGTAGACGCAGGGAGAAGGGCGGGGCAGAGAGGGTGGGTAGATGCAGGGAGCAAGGCGGGGCAGAGAGGGTGGGGGAACCATTGGAGAAAGAAGGCCGGGCGGGAAGGCATGGGAAAGAGAATGGAAGGGGGTAGATGGAAAGGGTTTGGGAGGAGTGCGGATTTGTGAACTTTGAGTTGTATGCTACTTCAAAAATCAGAGCGTCCTGAAGCGAACCAATGTGGTATAATGGACTACATCAAAATTCCAAAGAAGGTAGGTAATTTAGGAGTAAGGTGACAAGGGCACGGATTTAATGGAAAATGGTGTTCAATTGGGCGTTGTGCATGGCATGGCAGGGCATGGGAGATGGTGCATGGCAGATGGTGCATGGCAGGGCATGGGAGATGGTGCATGGCAGCACGCACAATGAAGTCAAGTCTGTGAGGCTGAAGATCCACCCAGGCAGCTTCCCAGACAGTTGATGATGGTTGGCCACGTGCCTGATGATAGAATTGGAACTGAACTTATTGATTAGGAAAGAAGGCACTAGGCCTTAAGTACAAACGAGGTTGGGATGGGCAAGGCGAGGGAAAAGATGGGATGGGGATCCTAGCAAATCTCCAATTGGTGAGTTGGCAGATTTGCAGGATTACGAGGGAATCCCAACCAGATAGGGTTGGGATCACAAACTACACCCAACCTGCAAATAACCTACGCGATATAGAATATAGTACACAAAGTGTTGATAGCCTAATTCTAACACACCCCCTAGGCTGCAACACATCAGCCACAAGGAGGCCCAACACCCATGGCCGAGAGGAGGCGGTAATGATCCTCGCGAACAAGCGACTTGGTAAACAAGTCAGCAAGGTTGCAGTCGGAGGCAATGTGTTCAGCCTTCAGCTGCTCGCGCTGCACCAGCTCACGAAGAAAGTAGTGACGGACTTCAATGTGCTTGGTGCGGCCATGGAAAACGGGGTCTTTGGTGAGATGAATGGTGCTCTCGTTGTCACACCAAAGCGTTGGGGTTGGTTGGGGATACCCCAGTTCTGTCAGCAGGAAGGAGAGCCAACGAGCCTCCTGTGCAGCCATGGTCCCGGCATACAGCTCTGCCTCACAGGTCGACAGTGAGACGGAGGACGACCGAGTGGAGCGCCAACTTACAACCCCACTGCCAAGGGTAAAGCAATACCCTTGGGACGAGCGCCGATCACTCTGGTCATCAGCATAGGATGAGTCACTGTACCCCTCAAGGTGAACCGGGGAAGTGCCGCCAAGTGTGAGCACATAATCCTGTGTGCCTTTGAGATAGCGAAGAACCCGCTTGGCGGCAGACCACTGGTGGCGAGTGAAGCGACTAGGTGCAACGTAGCGGGACAGTACACTGACTGGATAGGCTAAGTCTGGTCGAGTGCACATCATCGCGTACATGAGGGATCCCACGAGCTCGGGGTAAGGCTCGGCACAGGGCTCAGGTGAGGGAACGGAGGGTGCACTGAGTTGGTGTTGTAGAGAGAGTGGGGTGGGCATTGATGCTGCTTCTTGCATCTGGAACCTTGTCAGAACATTGTTGATGTAAAACTTCTGCGAAAGGGTGATGGTGCGGGCTGTGCGATCACGTGTGATTTCCATTCCCAAATAGTTCGTCAGCTTCCCAAGGTCCTTCATGGCCAGCTTCTCACCAAGTGCGGTTTTGACTGCTGCCAGCTCAGTCTGATCCTTGGTGACAAGGATCATGTCATCGACATAAACGAGGATGAAGAACCGGGAGGGTGTTGCTCGGATGAAGAGGCTGGGGTCAGAGGTGGATGGGTGAAAGTCGAGGGACCCTAAGGTGCTCTTTAGCTTGTTGTGCCATTCCCGGGGAACTTGCTTGAGGCCATACACTGGCCGATTCAGCTTCCATACAGTGCCTGGTGGAAAGGAGCTGGAAATCCTTCGGGCCGCTCCATATAGATTTCCTCTCGAAGGATCCCTTGCAGGAACGCAGAAGACACATCCATGCAGTCAACCTCCATGTCATCTCGAGCAGCGACATCGAGAAGGGTGCGCAGTGTGGGAGGTTTGGCGCTGGGAGAGAATGTCTCAAAGAAGTCCAGTCCACGCTTTTGGGTAAATCCCTTGGCACAGTACCGGGCTTTGAATACAGGAAATTCGTCTGGAAGTTGTTTCACCCGAAAGACCCATTTTCCCTTCACAATGTTGACGCCGGAGGGAGGAGAGACGTCTGTGAAAGTTCCTGTGTGAATGAAGGCCTCACATTCTGCGACAATGGCCCCCAACCACTGAGCGGCGTGAGGACCAGAGACTGCTTCAGCATAGGTGAGAGGTGTGGGGATGGAGGGGTTGTCGGAGAAATTGAGGGTGGGAGAGTCTGCGATGTGTGGAAAGAGGAAGCAGAGTGCGTGGATGGCTGAGTCGATATCAATCAACTCCTCATGTCTGTCTTCAAGGAGGAATGGCATGAGAGAATAATCACCCCCGACAGGAGGAGGATTGAGAGAGACGCGAACGGAAAGGGAGAACGGTTGTGGAGGTGTGCGAGAGCGGGTGCGAGAAGCGATGGGTGAGGGAGGCGGGGCCGGAGTAGGCGCAGCGGAAGGGGAGGTGGGAGTGGGAGGGAGAGTGGAGACAGGATCGGGATCAGGGGTGGGAGCAGGAGGAGGAGCTGGGTGACGGCGTTGGTAGGTTTTGAGAGGAACGGGCTCGGTAGGAGGAGATGCGAGAGGAGATGGAGGAGGGGTAGCGGAGGAGGGAGGGAGCGAGGGAGACTGTGTGGTACTGGAGGGGGAAGCGGGTGATGGGGGATCAGAAATGGTGGAGGGAGTGGGAAGAGGAGGAGATGGAGTGTCGGGAAGAGGGAGACTGTCAAAGTCAGCCCAAGTAAGAGAGAGAGGCGGAGGAGAGGGGGAAGCCTTGGAGGAGGGGTAGAATGGGTGGGACTCATCAAAGTAAACGTCCCGGCTGCGATAGAGCTTGTTGGTGGAAGGATGGAGGAAGAGATAGTCTGGCGAATCTAAGTTGTGCCCGAGGTATACGCACGTGATCGTTTTGGGAGCAAGTTTGCCGCCAGCCGCACGACGGGCTTGG